ATTCGCGCATCCTTCCCGTTAATCTTTAGTGTCCCTACATTCATGAACCATGTAAGACATTTTTCCTACCCTCCCTACTCATTTATAGGAGGTTACAATGTTCACACGCATGTTTGGGATCAAGAAAAGGTCTTAATGTCGCAAAACGGTGCGAAAAATCGGGTTTCGGCATTCTGGGTGCCAGGCACGGCGTGCCTGGGGTAGGCACGATCGTGCCTGGCTCAAGAAAAAGCCCTGGGGGCTACTGCCTTGGAGGCACGATCGTGTCTGCCGTAGGCACGATCGTGCCTGGGTCGGGGAAAAGCACAGGCAGACACTGCCTTGCAGGCACGGTCGTGTCTGCCTTAGGCACGATCGTGCCTGGGCTGGGGAAATTCCTGGGCAGCTACTGGCTTGGAGGCACGATCGTGTCTGCCTTAGGCACGATCGTGCCTGGGTTCCAGCCTCCTGAAGTTGCCCGAAATCCCCCAGTTTGACCCCCAAACCTTGTGCAATGATCCTAGCGATTAGTAACCTCAATTTATGGACTAATTAAGGATAAAATGCTAGTATACGAGAGGCAATACCTGCAACGGAATCTGGGTTAGCTTGAGCGTCCGCCTCCGTCATTGCGTAGACCCTAGCCTGGGTCCTTCCTTGGTTCACGGACGGCGCGTTACTCGCGCTTGCTCCCCCATGTCCCCGGCTTGCTTGAGAAGCCCCGGGTTGACTCCGTGTGCCCATCGCGCCACTACTCGGTCCCGATGTCCTCTGCCCACCCAATTGTGGGCAATGTGCCTTCAAATGCCCGGTGTTCCCGCATTGGAAACATCTAGGAGGTTCACGGCATTTTCCGAGGTGACTCTTCTTGCAATTCAAGCAACGAGGCGTCCCCGAGGCTTGTGACCCCGAGTCATGCCTGCTCGAGCCCTGGTTCCCCCTAGATGGTGGCGGCGGTGCACGGAAAGATCCCCCTCCATGAATCCCCTTTTTGTTGGAACCTTGGGAGCCGTGACTCTCCCACTTCCTCTTCTTCGCCTCCTCGGCGTTCCTTCGTTTTCTTTCCTCCCACTCCTTCTCTCCCTTCAGGCCTTGTTCGACCACTTGACTAAACGTCATACTAGGCAATTGTGTTGCCCTCTCGCGTATGTCAAGGTCCAAGGCATCCCAGAAATGATTCACCATACGGTTTTCATCACATATGTACTCCGGTATGAATTCCGCGAGTTCCCTGAATTTGTGTTCAAGTTGCCTCACCGTCATCGTGCCACCTTGGGTTAGGAGGGTATACTCTCTCCTCTTATTGTTCACCTCAAAATCTGAATAGTATTGGGCAAAGAACTCCTGTCGGAAATCCTCCCAAGTCACGGTATTGCCATACTTTCCCTTGGCTCCGTCCCACCATGTGGATGCCATCCCTTCAAGCAACCTCACCGCCACCCTTAGCTTAAACTCAGGGGTGAGTTGCATATCAAGGGCTGCTTCGTTCAACCTCTTGATCCATTCCGCGGCGATCGAGATGTCACCCGCTCCATCGAAGGGTTTGCACCCCAAGTCTCGTGCCTCCTTGAGGTATTTGGAGATCCTTATGATCGGACCCCCATCACCCCGGCCCCCATGTGGTTCAATGTGGGCCCTAGAGTCGCCATGGCTTCTTCCTCTTGAAGCCCCACCCGAAGTTCGCCCTCCTCGGCGCCTTCGGCGTTCCCTCCTTTCCTCGCGCTCCCGCTGGTATTGCTGGAGCAGCGCCTCAATTCTGACTAGGGAGTCATTCTCCCCTTCTTCATCACTTATATCATCGTCATCCCCTTCGTAAGGGGTCTCAACCGGCTCGGTCTCCGGTTGGTAAGTCGAGTCCTCATAGGACCAGTAGGTTTCACTTTCTGTGTCAACATGACCGTCACTCACGGTCTGTGATCGGCCTCCACGGTCAGCTCCTCTAGATGCCCTAGAGGTCCTTCGACTGCCCTGTCCAGTCTCCACTGGTACACGGCCCGTCGGGTTTCTCCTAGTAATCCTGCCACCACGGTCCATTTCTGAAAGAAGTTTGGAAAGAGTCATTAGACTCGTATCAAATGTCAATTGACGGATAGGTACTTAAGACACACTTGGCTCGAGTCACCGCCATACCAATTGCTAAGGGTACCATCTTAACAATTAGAGACCTTGCAACCCAAGTACCAAAAGCTCTCCAAGTACAAAACTTCTATGCTCATGGTTTTCAAAATCTTTTCAAAAAGAGAATTTTGAGACTTCATTATGAAGTTTATGGAACCTGGCTCTGATACCAACTTAATTGTCACGCCCCGGGCCTATCCGGACACGTCAACAACCCGCCGTACAATACGAATAGTCAACCGCAGTCCAACACATTCATATTATACAAGGCGTCTTGAATATCATTCACACGTATACATCCATAAACAAACATAATAAGTAATTCATAACGCAGCGGAAAACATTGTTTAAAACAAAAGGGCCACACATGGCTATTCATGAGCACGCAGGCTCTATAGTAAAATATCCATGAGCATGTTTATTAATGTTTAAAAAAAACAGAATGGAGGAAGCACGAACCAAGTCTTCCCTCCTATATGATCTCTCGAGCAACGAGCACAGGAAGCAAGCTCTAGCCTCAACCTGAAAAATGGTGGTGGGACGCCCCCGAAGGGGTCAGCACTCTATAGGGCTATAAAGTGCTGGTGTGGCAGGCATCTAATAGATATACAACAAGTATTTCACACACAAGACCCTCAAATAGGGTGATAATATAGTATAGGCCGTAATCTCAAATTACCCCTTTCAAAATATATACTTACTTTATATAAAGTCAAGTAGTCGGCTCAAAGGCCCATGTTTATTACAAGACATTTCCCAAAACCCCGTGACTAATGGTCACGACATACGTAGGGTCCAACCCTAATATAATTTCTCATTTCTAGAGTTCGACTCGAGTACATCATCATGCACTCGCATCATAGATCTCCTACTTCATGTAATCACACCATAGATCTCCTACTTCATGTATTCACTCCATAGATCTCCTACTTCATGTGTTCACCCCATAGATCTCCTACTTCATACAACCACACCATAGATCTCCTACTTCATGATATCACACTTGACACTTGAACCTCATTCAAGTTCATCACAAACAACTCAAACCTTAAGTTTGATTCTATCAACATTTAGAACAATCCTTAACTAGCATCACAATACTATTAAGGTTATTCCTACAACTCATTTATTCTTAATGGTAGCCCCTCCATATCCATAGATATGTGGCAGCCTCCCGTGTGCTAAGCATCATAATGCAATCATACGTTTACATACACATAACATTCATACATGAGTTGGAAAGTCAATTTACCATATTAGCATACTTTTATCTCACATGACTCCATATTCATCAATATGGTTTCAATTTATGATCAAGTCCATTACTTATCATTCATATCATGTTCAAGCATATTTATTCACAAAAACATGATTCAAGCATTTAGGTAATCTCATGCATAACCTACAAGTTGTAAGCAACTAGATGTCGGTCCTCACCTCAAATGAGCTTTAAAACCTTCCTTCTCGATCCAATGACCAAAGCCTCGGCCAAGGAAGATTGAGAACTGATCCCTTGCTTGAAAATGGGTGTTAAACAGCTTCCTCAAGTTGCTATTTCAACCCCTAATCGTTGATACGAAAACAGCCCCTAGAACGGGTGTTTTCCGGCTAACTCGATTCCTAGTTTTCCAATATTTGCTCTAGGTTAGTATCTAACCTTTACATAAATAACATAACTTTTCAAGGACATATTATACACTTGGATTAGTGTACAATAGTCCCACCAATCGTTCATATCATTTGGAAAATGAATGGAAAGGATTTGGGGTTAACAACTCACTTTAGAAGAGTAAATCCGTTTCTGCGAGGTTGTGTTTTGCTCGGACGATTTGGAAGTCTTCCTCTACTCCGATTGATGCAAACCAGACCTTCACGGATTCCTCGTCTTGAGAGCTTTCTTTTGGTATCTCACACTCCTTAATTGGATTGGTAAAACTCGAGATATCGACCAAACAGTCTCAGCACTCTCACAGCTAGAGTTCACAGACCACCACTCACTCCAGCTCGATTTTTGTAAGATAAGCCTTCTCTCCTCGAACAAAGACCACTCAATTGAGATAATAGACTTCAAAGGCTATCCAAGGACATATTATTCACGTTGTTTGGTCGAGTATAGCTTCTATAATGAGAGGAGACAAACAGCACACCAATTTGTGCGAAAATAAGGATGGTGGCCCAAGCTTTGATTCCTATCAAGTCATGTGCAGCTCCCCTCCATTATGGCCGGCCAAGGTAGGTCTTCTAACCCATTTTTATTTGTTTTGCAGGTACTAATATCATGTGGAGTGGTTCCCAATTGATCCCATTGAATTTGGGGTCCAAAATATCTACCAATACTTCCAAAAATGGGAAGATGGGTCCTATTGTTTTATCTTTGTCAAAGATGTCTTTTTGTACTCATCCTAATTTATTTAGAACAAGTCAACTTCCTAAATCACATTATTGATCTCCAATATGTGTAGGCTCATCCCAATAATTTACTTGATGGATATTTTAGAAGGAAAATCCTACTCCCATTATTTAGCTCAATAATGCCAAAGATGGGGTTATAGACATTTGTATTCTCCTTTAATCATTCTTTCACTATTTAGGTAATGTTGGGCTCTTTTATTTATTAATAAGTCCCGAGTAAGTATTTGCGAAACCCGCACTAATGTACGAGTTTGAACAGTACGATATTCAACCATGCACTACGTAGAACATTGATCGTTTTACAAAATGTTTGGGAATCGGAAATCCAATACATACGCTATGAATATTCAAATCAAATTTCCAAGGACATTCGGGTGCGGTGTCACAGTTTTAGTCACGGCCAACGACCGTGACTAACTCATTTAGTCACGGAATTTTTGAACTGGCGTCCGTGACTACCTCCGTGACTACACGCGTGTTTTTTTGTAGTGATTGTTAATGCCTGTCGTATTATAAGAGGTAAAAAGGCGTTTCAAAGGTTTCCCTGGCAAACCTTTCCTGCCCCTAGGATTTCAGGCTGGGGTCTGGGGTAGTGTAGAGAAATAGCTGTGAGTACGCAAGCGGCAAGCGTTCTTGTCCATATAAATCTCCAGGATGGGCTTGTTTTATTTTTTCTCTTTCAATTCTTTTTGTAATTTTTTCACTGATTTTATCTTCATACTGCGGTTAGATACTGAGGTCCGGGACGGAATGGGATAACATAAAAAGTAAGAAATGAAAGTACTACATGGCGCTCGTGGAAATGGGATAATGAATCGGCAAACTGAATAGTACACTTTTCTAAGAGGGAAGGGGTTTCTTTAAGCTGCTGAAACACATGGATAATAATGGACCTGGGAAAACAAAACAATGAGTGTTAATGGCAAGAATTCTGTCCCGACCATATATTTTTCCTACCTAAAGTAAATGGGTGTATGATGTACTACCCATTTTCCCTAACTATGTTTCCACTTAATGTAAATGCGGTAAATGCGTGTCCCACCCCTTTTATGTTTGAGAGTAGGTTTAGGTTATGGGATGGGGGGGACAAGAGTAAAACTTGTCACCGCATGTTTTGATGTGTGCAGGTAAAACTACTGCTGGTTGTCAGTTTTGCCACAATGATATTGCTCATCCTACCCATGTATTTCGTAAGGGCCTCCACCGTTATGAACCCCGTGCATTGCGTTCTAATTGGTAATTAACTAAGCTCTTAACTTAAATAAGATGCTTGGTACTAGAGATAAATAAAAGGGGTTTTGTCACGGATATTACTAAAAAACAGCTAATAGACAAAAAAGAGTCCTCTTTTCTTAATTTCCGAAGATAGAACTAATCCATACTTAGTTTCCTAAATTACCCTCTCTTTAAGCGTTAACGTTGCATCCGCGTAGCTTTACTCCCAAACTCCGTAACATTGCACTACGTTGTGTAAAACTATACGTGTGTCATGCGTAAGGATGCCCCTGTAATCAATAATGCTTTTTCTTATTTTAAAATTATTTCTTAACCTTCCACCTTTTATTTAAACATATATCTCAAATAGACATTACGTAATTGGATATGAAAATATGGATGTCTTAACTCTTTTTTCTTTTTACTCCCCTTAGGCAAACCAGTGGAACAAATGACGGGAAACATTTGTCGATTTTATTAATATTTAATTTATTACATTATAATTTGTGTGAAAAGATCCCAATTACTGACGCACTGTTGTCCCAGTTACTAACTAATCTAGTGACCAGCATTCCAGTTACCACCGCCCCAGTTACTATAGCCACACTGACCAATAATGTTATAATCCAGTGACCACCGTCTCAATTACTACCACCGCTCCAGTGACCATCGTCCCAGTTACCATCGTCCCAGTTACTATCGTTGCTCCAATCACCATTGTCCCAGTTACTACCGCCACTCCAGTGATCACCTTCTCAGTTACTACCGCTCCAGTGACCATCGTCGGCGATAGTGACCACCGCCGGCGATAGTGATAGTGATCACCGCCGGCGATAGTGATAGTGACCACCGCCGACGATAGTGATAGTGACCACCACCGGCCACTTCCGCCAGCGGCAGTGACCACAACCGCAGACAATTACACTCACTTCGTAACCAGCCATTACAGTTACTTGCGCACAACAATAGTGACCTCATGGACTGTCCCAACAACCTGCCACCACACTGCTCCTGACCTGACCGCCATTCTAATGACCTGCCGCAAGCCGCCAGTGCGCCGTTGCCGACCACATTGCCCAGTATCGCCGGCTACAGTGACCTCTGGCGGCGAAGTTATAATGACAATGCCCTTCCCACTGACCATGCATCCCCATTTCCCCTGCTCCTGCAACACGGCCTCCTCCACGACTAATTCCGACCAGCCCAACATTTCCTAACCCATCACCGTCCCCAGCACCCCCTAGTTACCCCCACATCACACACCTACCCTACGAACAGTGTAGCGATCGACCCTATTGCCGCCCACCGACCCTGCCCCCGTCCAGCGCCGCATCACGGATGTCAAACATCAACGCCACTTTCAAAGCAAAAAATCTGCTCTTCGCCGGCAATATCCCCCGCTGCGGCACTGAGTAAGGCCACCGCCGTCTCTGTCAAACAAATCGTAGGCAGATCCGTACTTTGTCGCTGTAATCAATAATAGAGATGCACTCGTTGACCGTCGCCATCCTCAGAAATATCATCACCGTTCGGTGCAAGGCCGCCATCGCCGGTGTCCAGAGAAAAGCTGCCATCGCCGGTGTCCACTGCAAGGCCGTGGTCGTCATCCGCTGCAAATCCGTCGTCCTCAATCAGGTCGTCGTCGCCTCATCCATGCCACCGTTTTCCTTATCCAGACCGTCTTCGATCGTCCTCAGATAGGCTGCCATCTTCCTTCAGCCAGGCCGCCTCCACCTTGGCACCTTCACAAAAACCCTAGTGGAAAAGGTGAAGTAATACAGCCAGAGAGATGGCAATTCGACGGGTGAGAAAGAGTTAGGCGCAGGGGTGTTTTTGTCCTGCAATGTTATTTTACTCCCTTTTCCGTCTAATTTCAACTTTAGTCTTATATTTGTCTTTTAAGAGTCCCATAGTATTATTTAGGTCATTCTTTCTAAATAAAAAAAAAGTAAATATTCATGTAGGTACGCACATTTAATTATGCAGCCTAATTGACTTTTTTTTTATTAAAAAAAACGGGGTAACAATTATTTTTTGTTTACATACGAAACTATCAAGTCAAATAAGATGCCACGTATATTTAAGGCACAAATAATCTTTGCTGGAAAAGTTTACGACAATAATCCTAACTACTTAACTGTTTCACAAAAGTAAATAATGCGTAAACATATTGACTTTTCAATTTAATTTTTTTCTGCGTTCTACATATAATGAATCAAATATCAATATAAATATACATAAATATTTATGTATGTATATCTAAGCATTAACAGTATCATATTTGACCTTAAATTTATTTCTATCATAAGCTAAATATAATATTTAACAGTTTTTTTTTCACCAAATCAGCGGACTTCGGGCGAGACAACAGGGGTCGAACAATAATGGAGGTCAGCGAAGGATCTGAATTTGCGGCGCGGCGCTCCAGATGAATAGCAATTGCAGAATACAAGGCTTGTACTTTTAGAAAAAGAGAAGTTGAGAGTTGTTCTCTCCCTCGTGTGAGGTTCTTCTTCGCTTTTAGCCATAAACCCACTCGGATCTTCCATTAATCTTGTGTTTTGAGCTTGGATATGGGTTGCTTTACTTCCTAAACCTCTTTGGGTTGTAAATCCTCCAATTTTGGATCTCATTTTTCGGATTCTTGGATTGGCTTCACGCAATAACTCGCTCGGAATTACTGTTCACAGAAATAGGTCAATGCCTATTTCTCTTGATTTCCTTGCTCAATCTTTGATTGGTAGGTGGTTTTAGCTTCTCCCTGGACTGAGGATCAAACATTTCAGACCTGAAGCTCCAAAATCGAAGTTCAAAAATCGTGTATTTGTTGTTCATGATATTTGGTTTCTTTAATTTTGAGTTCTTGAATCTGCTGGGTTTCGTTTACCTTGTTAGTGCTCTACCAGGGGTGCGAACTCTAAGATTTCGAAGCTTAGTTTCTGACTACTGTTTCACGACGAGAATGGTGATGAAGAAGCACTGCTCATAGCCGACTGTTTGTTTGGGTTTCAAGAAAGCTGCGAATTATGGTGAGGAAGAAGACCGTGGAGCCACCAACAGGGCGTGCTACTAGGTCCAAGTTTTCCCTCCTTGCTGACATAGATGAAGAATTCCCAGTTCTTAAGCTAGCCGGGGCAGTTTCCATTGAGGCAGGACATACGACTTGTGCAGGGGAGTCTCACGCTAGCCTAGAAAAAAATACTAATGTTTCAGGGGCTAAGTCTGGAGTGAACTATGCTTGTAGCAATTCTGGGCAGTCTGCCATACAGGCGGATGCTATGGATGCAGGAGTTTCCTCAGTTTCTGCCAATAAAGAGGTGAACATTGCAGCAACTAAACACCAACTTGAAGCTAAACAGATTATTGCTATCCCCACAGAGGCTGAAATGGGTAAGAAACCATGGAACACACTCTTTAAGGATAACCGAGCCCCAACTCATGGAATTAAACTGAGATTTATCCCGCCGAAGAGTACTGTTTTGGACTTTACCAATAGGGTCATGCCGACTATGGTTGAGATGTGGGGACACTGTCTAGTTGGATGCTTTACAGGTCGGTTCCCTGGCCTAAAGGCTGTCTATGAACTCAAAGAAAAATGGGGCGTGCGATGCCTTGTTAGGCCCCATGACAAAGGTTGGATTATTTTTAAATTTCAAAATGATGCGGATAGAATGAAAGTTTTGAATGAGGGACCGTATATCATATTCGGAAAGCTTTTTATGCTTAAGCTACTGTCCGAGGACTTCTCATTTGACGATGAAGAATTCCTCAAAGTGCCTATTTGGGTTAAACTTCCTCACCTACCAATGCAACTATGGAATGCGAAAGCAATGAGTGAGGTGGCTTCTATGATTGGGACTCCGGTAACGACCGACAGAATGACTCAAGAGAGGGCGAATCACAATTTTGCTAGAGTACTTATCGAAGTTGATGTGTCAAAGCCATCACCACTATTGTTTCCTATACGCTTACCTTCCCAAAAGGTTTTCAATCAACGTGTGGTGTATGAAACTTTTCCTAATTACTGTTTTCATTGCAAAAAATATGGGCACCACCCATTTATTTGTAAGGAGCTAGCTGAAAAGAAACTAGAGGATAAAAATGAGAAAGAAAAGAACAAGGATGTTGGTATTATAAAAGCTGATGCACAGGATGCTTTGAAGGACAGCTCAAGCCGTATTGTTACCCGAGTGGAGAAGAGAATGGAGATAGAAGAGGGCAAATTGCCTGATGCTCAACTTGAGGAGGGAAACATCTTGGAAGAACCTGGGAATTCTGCCGTTGATGAAGCTTATGTTGAGGTGGCTGCTACTTCGGTTGGCAATCTTGACCCGGATACGGAAGAGAAAGGTGATATTACTGTTTCTGATGACCAGTATGAGACTGAGGAGGAACCGGATCAGGAACATCATGTCAAGAAAACCACCAAAAAAAGTAGGAAGAGAAAGGGTGAGACAAATGAGAAATATAAAAGACGGCTTGGAAGAATGATTGGAATGAATATAAAATAATTCTTGGATGGGGAAACTATGGCTTCCTTAGATTTTTAATCTATTTAATTAGTGATTTGTGAAGTGGGGACTGTCCCATTATTTTGATGCATTATATCTAGGTTAGTTTATTCTAGTTTAGATAGTCATTTTGATTTGGATTGATGCATTGTAAAATGCTATTTTTTTCGGTTTCTAATATACTTACATATTATCGAGAAGAAAAAAAAATATTTAACAGTTTTCACAAAAAATAGTACAAATATTTGAACGCATACTCATTAAATTCTCTTTTATCTTTTATTATTTTAATTATACTCGACGTTGTTTTTCATGAGACTATCGATTTCAACATAGTTTTAGTGATATCGCATTAAATTTTTTGATATAAAGTATTAGTATATCATAATTACTTTCACCTTAGGCAAATCTAATAAATTGATATCGCTTATAATTTGAAAGGATGTGGTATTGAGTTATTATAGAAAAATACGTTTGTATTCATATTTACTTTTATTTAAATTATTACAAAGCTTCACTATTATTCCTTCTGTCCCGCTATTCATTTGGTCAACACAAATCACTCTGATCTTACTTTATATTATCGTAAATCATTTTTTTTTCAAATTTGATTCAGTTTTTTGCGACTTTGCTAAGCTTTTAAGGTAGTTTCTAAATATGTAATTTTTTTTCCTAAAAATAATTTGAGAGCGGACAGAGATCTGTTTGCTATATCGTCGGTCAAACATCGTAAACCGAATTGTCCCGATCTTAGTGGGACGGAGGGAGTAATAAATATGCATATTACATTTTTTTTTAAATATGAATATTACATATAAACATATTTCTTCTTTAACAATTTAGTATCCCATTTGTTCAAAGACAAAACATAATTCGATGAGTATGTGCTCAAATATTTTTACCATATTTTACGAAAAATATGAAATATCAAACTAATTTTATAATTGAATTAATATAACGCAAAAAAAAAACGAAAAGGGGTCCGACAGGCCAAATTTTGTTTTTTGGCCTTGGATAACGGGACCAATTAAAAATATAGAATGGTGTCCGGCCCACACTATAGACTATAGTTCATTTTTAGTACTCCCTCCGTCCCGTTGGAATGTTCCCGGTTTGACCTACACACATATTAAGGAAATAAACTTACCAGGAGGTAAATTTTACTGTTTGGACACTGTTTGGACACTGTTTGACACTGTTTGGTACTGTTTGACACTGTTTTGCACTGTTTAACACTGTTTTGATGTAGGATAACTTTCCATTTAGGGAAATGAGAACTTTCCATTGGGACATCAAAAAAAGGAAAGTGGGAACATTCCAACGGGACGGAGGGAATATTTATTTTTTGTGTCATGTGGTGACGCCATAACTGCGCCATCGCCATGGACAAATGCCGTGGCGCCGTGGGTGTTGCCATACGCCCATACTCTATCGCCATGGATAAATGCCTTGGGCAAGTTGAGAGTTCATCTCTCCCTGGGTTTCCGACCTTGGTTCTTGCGTGCAATGGGGCTTATGGTGGTTTGCATTTGTGAGTTCTGAGACCGGTTTATTCTGTTTATTGGTCGGAAATTGCTCCATAACCTATTTCGGACCTTCGATTTGAAATTGGAAGGATGATATACGGCCAAAAACTCCGAAATCGAGATCTTCGTCGCGAATTTTACTGTTCACTTCGTTTTTGAGTTTGGTTTTGAGTTTCTAATTTGACGATTGCTTCAACGATTTCAGTCTAGTTTGGTGTTCTCCATCACTGGACGCACCTCCAACTGTTTTCCGTAGAGTGGAGACGGCGGGAATCCTGAAACCCACTTTCACAAGGGATACGTTGTTGCGCTTAAACTACTTCTGAAATGGCGAGGAAGAAACAGTCTTCTGGGGTATTTCATTTTCTGCCTTTGAAATCCAGAGCCTGAGGGTGGTTTGAGACTTGCCTTGGCAAGACGAGTTTGCTTCGCATCTCTGTTGGCCCTGTTTTGGAAGTCGAATTCACATCCTGTTTTTGAGCTCGTTTGCAGAGCTGCAACTGATGAAGAAAAAGAAGACTGGGAACGGGGAGTCTTCGTCCAGACTTACCAGGTCAAAAGCAAGATTTGACCTACTGGATGACTTTGAGGAGGAGTTCCCCCTGCTCACTGAACCAGCCCCAAAATTGAAAGAACAACGAGATGGTGCTGCTAAGGAACCTGCGTTTGCTTATGCTACTGATGTCACTCCTGCTACCGAAGTACAGGTTGTTACTAAAGCTGGGAATAACCCACCAGATGAGGTACCAGCAGCTACTCTGGAACCTAAAGGAATCAAAGGAGGTGCTGGCCAGACTTATATGCTGGCAGAAAAACCTCATACTATCCTGAAAACTGGGCAGATTGACGCTGGGGGTGCAGTAGCTAAAACACCTGTTGCTGCCAATATTCAGATGGTTAATGACGCCGGGGTTGCAAAAAATACACATGCTGCTACTGGTTCAATCCTGAAAACTGGGCAGATTGAGCCTATGCAAATTGAACCTATGATTGCTCAGCCAAAGCAAACACCTTGGAGCACTTTGTTTAAGGATAATCGTGACCCTAGACATGGCATTAAACTGAAATATGTCCCTCCCAAAGGAGAAATTTTGGACTTTGGGGGTCGATTTTTGCCCTCTATGGTTGAAATGTGGGGTCATTGTCTAGTGGGACATTTCACCGGAAAATTCCCCGGACTCAAAGCAATTCATGATTTGAAAAATAAGTGGGGTGTGAAATGTCTCATGAGGTCCCACAATAGGGGTTGGATAATTTTCAAATTCCAAAGTGAAGAGGATAGAATGAAGGTATTACATGAGGGACCATACACCGCTTTTGGGAAACTCCTAATGCTCAAAAAACTCTCGGAAGATTTCTCCTTTGATGATGAGGAATTTCTAAAGATACCAATTTGGGTTAAGTTTCCTAAATTGCCTATGAAGTTATGGAATGATGAAGCTATGAGTGAGGTAGCTTCTATGATTGGGGTCCCAATAACTACGGACAAAATCACTCAAGAGAGGATTAACAATGACTTTGCTAGAGTGTTGATAGAGGTTGATGTTTCAAAGCCACCACCGCTATCCTTTCCTATACGACTACCTTCCCAAAAGGTAATCAAACAAAGTGTGCTATATGAAACTTTTCCTAACTTTTGCTTTCACTGCAAGGAATATGGGCACAACCCTTTTATTTGTACTAAGTTTGCCAAACGGGTTGATGGAGAAAGGGAGAAAGAACAAAATGTTGAAAAAAAAATGAGGATTTTGGGTTGGTGGATAGCCGGCCAGTAGCTACTGCTCAGGGATACCCGACCGAGCTTTCCCCTGCCCCGACCGGATCTGTTGCCCAGCTGCCTGATGCTGCTGCCAGCCCGACCGGGTGCTGCCCTGACCCGACCGGGTATAAAGAGCAGAATTCTTCCCAGGGGCCTGCCAGCGATGAAATGTCTGCTGCCAGGAAAAAAGCTTTGACACCACCAACCCAGGGGCTGTCCAAAGATGTTGATAAGGATTCCATGGCCGGTTTGATAGATACCGAAAGGATTGTGATGGATGAAAAAGATTTGAAGCTAAATGATGTTGTCATCAAATGTGCGGTCATAAACGGTAAGACACTCAAGCTGACGGTCAAACCATTTAAGTTCGTGCACGCGAGTGTGATTAGAGTGGATACCTCCCTTCGACTTACGGACGATTTGGATAGCAAAGGCCTTACTTTTACCGCCAAATGCCTCGAGGGGATGCCGGGAGTTACTAGGAAAAAAGGTGAGGTTTGTTTCGACCCAAAGTTCACTTCTCCTTTCCGAACTTTCTTTGGATTTTAGATTAGGGACTCCTAATATTATGTTGTGGTAGCTTGATTTTTTTGTGAACTTTATTTTGCTCTTATTGTATTTGGGTTCAAAATGTTGACTTAGGAGGAGGGAATGTTTGATTTTGTGGTATCCTATATACTGGGATATGCACTTTGCTTGTAACATTGAATTGTTATTTTCTTGGGTGTTAATATATACTTACATTTTATCCAAAAAAAAATGGATAAATGCCTTGGCACCTTGGTCAGGACTCAGGATATTTTCATAATAAGACAAATGGGGTGGCACTTGATATTTTGTTGGTAATTTACGAAAGTATTAACTTAAATAAGAATGAATATGTAAGCATGCATGTACGTATGTACATTTTATTATGTAATCTATCTAATTCAGTCTTTAACAAATGGGGATTTACACCTGGTTTGTCAGTTCAAGTTTGGTGGATGTTGGTACTGGATATAGCCTTCCGCCCTGCTCGGATGGCGTAGCTAGCAAGAAAATTCAAGAAAATTTCCTGAATGTACTTTCTTTTTACCCAAATGCATCTTGTGATTACGCCATCTATCCACTTCCATCTCCTGCTAACATTTCGTTGGAACTGCCTTTTGTAGGTGGATGCTGGAGTTTTTTTTTTTTTTTTTTTTTAATTTGGGAAATTATCAATGAGCTCCTTTCAGGTTTGATATATCATCACTCACACCTCTGCACTATAAAAGTTGTACTCTCACCCCCTCCCTATCCTATAATGATGGTTAGTAACTTTCAATTTACGTTTGAGAAAAGGGGCAAATAAGGCCACGTACTAACAAAAAAAGGTCAAATAAGGCCTTATTTAAGAGGCTCTTTCCGGCTGTCGCTATTTGGGGTGGTTCCTGGTGGAATTTTTTGAAGAAATTTTTTGAGCATCTTATTCAGTAAGTCTAGTTTACTCATACCAAATTTCAGCTAAAACTTCAATCGGGAAGGCATTCAAATGAATTCTTGAAGATAACTGCGCAGTTAAAAGCGTAGTTATCTTCACGAATTCATTTGAATGCCTTCCCGATTGAATTGTTAGCTGAAATTTGGTATGAAAAAACTAGACTTAATGAATAAGATGGTAAAAACAATTCATCAAAAAATTACACCAAGAACCACCCCAAATGGTGAAGGCCGGAGAGAACCTCATAAATAAGGCCTTATTTGACCTTTTTTTGTTAGTACGTGGCCTTATTTGCCCCTTTTCCCTTTACGTTTTGAGAAAATTATGGACATAGTTTCGTAACTTTTGATTGTGTTCGCTATTAATGTTGTAATTTTCATGCAAACACATATTTTGTGGGATAATTATCAGTGATGTCAATCGCGCGCTATAGCGGCGCTATAGCGGTGGAGCGGAGCGGAGGAGAGATCTGGCGCTACTAGACATCCTGTAGCGTGGCGTTTGGGAGTTGCGGAGATAGCGGGCGCAATAGCGGGCGCTATAGCGGTAGAGAGGCGGACGCTATAGCGGCACTTTTTTAGATCGGAGGTCTGTAGGGTTTTCTTCTGCGTTTTTGTTTTTTTACTGCAGATGGACAGGGTTAAAGTAGACTTTTTAAACTAAATACTCCGTAATAAGCAACTTAAAACCCTTGTACACGTACGAAAAGTGTAAAAACGCACAAGAAACTTTCTGTCTGCTCTGCGATGACCCCTGCTGCAACAAAATTTCTGCTCCATCTTTTCTAGAACGACCTTCACTCCATTTTTTCAAGAACGGGTTGTGCTCCTTCATCTTGTACAAGAAGAATACATGCTACACTCCTCTTTGTTTATTTCGAGTGGTAGACTTATAGACCATTAATTTATCAAGGCTTAACCCAGGAACTCATTTTTTATTCAATATTAAAGATATTTTAATCATTAATAGCATTGTATGTTTTGCTCATGAAATTAAGGACTATTTCCCAGTAATTTAGGATTTAAGAATGTTAAGATGTTTGCAACTTTGAATGACACATATCATAATTTACTAATGTGTATGTCATGTAATTATATGCTTGTAGTTAAAGATCTTTCGACTCAGAAATTGAACCTAATAAAACAAAAAAAAAATGATCAAAAACTGATGCATTGAAATACTTTGAATACAATTACACTATTGAAAGTGAACACAATCAAAAGTTATGGAACTAAATCTATAGTTTTCTCTGAGTGTAAATTAAAAGTTACTTAACTATCATTAAAAGATAGAGGGGGGTAGGTGTACATTTTTTATAGCACAGGGGTGTTCGTTATAATACACTGAACCTCATGGGAGGTCAATAATTATTTTTCTTTTAATGTTGTTACCTGGGTGTTGAGGGTGTCAATCACATTTTGAATGGTTCTTGCCCTGAAATGAAATTGGAGAGATAATACATGCCATAAGTTTAGCTCAAAGGAAAAGTCTTGGGTTCAATTCCAAGGGCTTGGATTCTATATTGTCTTATTTTGCTACTTTGTTGAGGTTCTAAAATGTTCAGTGACTTCATTTTAGATAGGACATGTTTATTTACTCAAACAAATTTTACCTTCTCTTGTGGAGCAATATGTTATAGCTATGGACCACTTAGAGCATCCCCAATGGGGATGTCTACTTTCTTTACACACTCTTACACACTCTACATATCTTCACATTTATTTTATTTTTCATTTTTCTATATCACTTTTAACCCACTTTTCATCCACATTCACTCATCGATTCCCGTGTAAAGTCTATTTGTGGACATTGTCATAGACATTCTCTACAATTTACTCCTATCTCTCTCTTCCTTTTCATTTCTCATACACACCACTTTCTCCTTATTAAATTAAAATAATCATTCTATCTCTATCTCTCTCATATGCCACGTAGGATAGACATTACTCTCATCCACTATCCCATTGAGGATGCTCTTAGAGTGTTGCATTTTGCCCGCTCAAAGGATTTATCTTTAAATGCTACTAGTGACTATCAACGTCATTGTTGCAATCATCAGTGTTCTCACGGGTGTCACTGAAGTGGTGAACATGTTTTATTAGTCATAAATTTTTTCCAATAATTTTGTACAGTGAATATTAAAAAATTGAAAAATAAAAAATAGTTTTTTTGACATCTTTTCTGATGGGCGAATGCTATCATAGCAGTAGTGGTTTCGAGAATTTGGGAAAGTGTTGTCCATAGGGTTGGACCGGTTCCGGGCTCGGTACTGGGCTGGGCCTGACCGTGCTTTTAGATACGGAATATTAGATACATAGAAAGCTCGTTAATCGATCTTTGATCAGTAACATGAGCTGATTTACTTTTTTTTTCATAAGATTGTCAAATGCAGATTTAAAAATTGATTTTTCTTTAGAAGGAGATGTTCGTGTCGGGGGAGGGGGTGCATTAATGAATTTTATTGTGCATAAAATTCATTAAATAATTGATGAAATAAATTCCTAACATTGTTGTATTCTAGTTTAGGGTCTATGGCTTTATCGCCGTACATTGGAAATTGACCAAAAAAAGAAGCATAATCATAATCTAAACAATTTCGCAAAGAAGCAAGTCTAAAATGAGAATCAAGAATAAATGCAATATCATATGTATGCAGAATATGTGAATAATATTTTAAAAACTTTTGTTTCATGAAATCACAAAAATAACTAACGTAAGCGGCATCGTGAAATTCACAAAAAGTGTCGGTGAAATTAGCAACTTTAACAAAATAATTGGTTTGATGTAGGTTTATAAGCATGACTAAAAATTTGAGTTGTATTGTTAAAATATATCAAAATATTCACAATTTTTCGCAAGTGTCGATCTCATTTGGAATTTTGGATTTATAATATAGTTAGAAGATTGTTTTATTTTAAAAAAGTCGAAAAATATTCTTTATATATAACAAGTACTTTAATTAAGTTATAAGTACTATTCCAGCGAATAGATAAATCTTTAGGAAAAAACAGAATATTTGCTATGTCTATCATTCAAATATTGTCTCTATTGCATTTTAAATCACTAGTCCAAATCAATTTAATTCCCTTCTTGACTATCTCTATAACATTTCCTAACGTGGCTAGCCCATCTTGGACAAAAATCGAGAACATGATATGCACAACGTTGATGAAAAAACCTATCCATCAATTTAGAAGCATCACACAATTCACACAATCTACGCATACAAACAGTATTATTACTAGCATTATCAAAATTCATAGCAAGCACCTTATCAATCAAATTAGACTCAATTAAAATACACTCATTGAGAAGATAAATATTATCAGCGGTGTGTCGATTATTAATTTCACGAAAAGAAAAAACACGTTTATGCATTATTTCTCAATCATCATCAATATAATATGCAGCCAGACCCAAATAATATGAATGATGATGATTATCCTCCCATGTATTGCTACAAATACTAACACGTCCATTAAAGTTTGCGAGAAATATTTGTAATCTTTCTTTTTTCAAACAATATTGCCTTACAAATCCTTTTTTAATCGTTTTGCGACTATAGTTTCAAAATTGAGGATTTAAAGTAGCTTAAGCATATCCTCGTAAGCAAGACTTTGAGAGAAAAAATAAAAGGCATTACAACTCAAAACCCTAGATGTCCACGGAAGAGAAGCTTTGTACGGAGTATATTTTTGAGGGGTGGCCAAACCAAACTCATGTGTGTATTCTCCGAAATTAAACGACCTACCGCAAGCATTACAACTCAAAACCCTAGATGTCCACGGAAGAGAAGCCATATATGGATTTTTCAAAATCACGATTTGTTCATCGCTCTTCTCGGCCATATATGGATCCTTCACAAAGACGATTTGTTCCTACCTTTTCCGTTCGGTATTTTTTGATTCACCCTTTCTCTACTATCTTCTTTTTCCTAAATGGGTTCGATTGTTTTCTGCAATCATACTTTTGCATCTTATTCTTCTCCTTCTTAACTCATCATATATTTAAATTTGTATCATATTTATTTATTCAGAGGTCGTTTTTCTTATCTAAAAGTTTTAGGGTTGTTTCAAGTGTGTAGTTTCGAATGATAAATAGTAGTAATATAAATCTAAAAGAATATTTTTTTGAAAAGAAAACCTTAATATGAAACCAAGGGAGTACTGTCCTTTTAACCTTTTGATATATTGTGTTCGTTCAATGATTCTAAGACATAAAATCAGAGCTCTTGATGAATTAGTTTCGCAGTTTTTAGTTTGGTGTTTTGTATGGTTATAGAGTGGTCTACGCTGACCGCCTTATTGATTCCATTCTTGATGAGTAAGTCTTATGGAATTAGTTTTTATATCATCGTAATGAATTCAGGAGTATTACATGTTTGTTTGGTCCCAGTTAGATTAATTGGTGAACAGACAGCCAAACAAATTTTTTTGGGTTTTATATGTACGTGTGTATGTCTAGTCATATACTTCTACACATACAAACCAAGTAGCACTGGGACTGAAAATGAAACTGAAAAGGAAGCAGAAGTAGAGCTGAGGGCTGAGAAACTCTATTCTCAAAATATCAAGATTAAAAGTATATGAGGGCATGCTTATGTGGGTACAGGCCGTACGGCACAGAAACATCGAAATAAAAATTAAAAACAAATAACCATTTTATGAAGTCATGTTTATGTCCAAAAAGTCAAAAAAAAAAAAAACAAAGTGCCGATACCAGTCGCCACCCAGGAAGTGCGGACTCTGCGGCTGCAGTTAAATCTGGACTGGAGACTGCCAAAGTGCCGATACCAGCCTCCTCGTTCACGTCTGGCCGTTTGCTGCA